TCTTGGAGAAACGGATAAATTTTTAGACTCTTATAACCTCCCAAAACTGAATCAAGAAGAAATAGAGAACCTGAATAGACCAATCACAAGTAAAGAGATTGAAACAGTAATCAAAAACCTCCCCCCAAAAAAAAGTCCCGGACCACATGGCTTCTCTGGAGAATTCTACCAAACATTCAAAGAAGATTTATTACCTATCCTTCTCAAACTATTCCAAAAAATTGTGGAAGATGGAAAAATTCCTAACACATTCTACGAGGCCAACATCACCCTGATACCAAAGCTAGACAAGGACAGCACAAAGAAGGAAAATTACAGGCCAATATCACTGATGGGCATAGATGCAAAAATCCTCAACAAAATACTGGCAAATAAAATACAGCAATACATTAAAAAGATCATACGCCATGATCAAGTGGGATTCATACCAGGGACACAGGGATGGTTCAACCCCCGCAAATCAACCAGCGTAATACACCACATTAACAAAATGAGGAACAAAAACCACATGATAATCTCAATGGATGCAGAGAAAGCATTTGACAAGATTCAACATCCATTCATGATAAAAACTCTCAATGAAATGAGTATACAAGGAAAGTACCTCAACATAATAAAGGCCATATATGACAAACCCACAGCCAACATTATACTCAATGGGGATAAACTGAAAGCCATCCCTCTGAGAACAGAAACAAGACAAGGGTGCCCACTCTCATCACTCTTACTCAAAATAGTAGTAGAGGTTTTGGCCAGAGCAATTAGGCAAGAAAAAGAAATAAGAGGAGTCCAAATATGCACTGAAGAAGTGAAACTCTTTCTGTTTGCAGATGACATGATTTTATATATAGAAAACCCTAAAGAATCCATCGGAAAGCTATTAGAAGTAATCGACATCTGCAGCAAATTTGCAGGATACAAAGTCAACTTACAAAAATCAGTGGCATTTATATACTCCAGTAACGAACTAACAGAACGAGAACTCAAGAATATAATCCCATTTACAGTTGCAACAAGAAGAATAAAATATCTAGGAATAAATTTAACCAAGGAAGTGAAAGACCTATACAAGGAAAACTATAAGCTAGTACTGAAAGAAATCAATAATGACATAAAGAAATGGAAAGATATTCCATGCACATGGATTGGAAGAATAAACATAGTTAAAATGTCCATACTACCTAAAGCTATCTACAGATTCCATGCAATCCTAACCAGAATCCCAATGACATTCTTCACAGAAATAGAGCAAAGAGTCTTAAAATTCATATGGGACAACAAAAGACCCCGAATAGCCAAAGCAATCCTGAGAAACAAGAACAAAGCTGGTGGCATCACAATCCCAGCCTTCAAAATATAGTCCGAAGCTATAGTAATCAAAACAGCATGGTACTGGTACCAATACAGGCACATAGATCAGTGGAACAGAATTGAAAGCCCAGAAGTAAAACCACACATCTTTGGCCAGCTAATCTTTGGCAAAGGTGCCAAGAACATACAATGGAGAGAAGAAAGCCTCTTCAATAAATGGTGTTGGGAACACTGGACAGCCACATGCAAAAGAATGGAAGTTGACCATTGTCTTTCTCCATACACAAAAATAGACTCAAAATGGACCCAAGGCTTGAAGGTAAGACCTGAAACCATAAAACTTCTGGAAGAAAATATAGGCAGTACACTCATTGACATCAGCCTTAAAAGGATCTTTTCGAGGGGGCTGGCCCCGTGGCCTAGTGGTTAAGTTCGTGCGCTCTGCTGCAGGCGTCCCAGTGTTTCGTTGGTTCGAATCCTGGGCGCGGACATGGCACCGCTCATCAGACCACGCTGAGGCAGCGTCCCGCATGCCACAACTAGAAGAACCCAGAACGAGAAATATACAACTATGTACTGGGGGGCTTTGGGGAGAAAAAGGAAAAAAATAAAATCTTTAAAAAAAAAAAAAAAAAGGATCTTTTCGAGTACCATGTCTACTCCTACAAGGGAAACAAAAGAAAAAATAAACAAGTGGGACTTCATCAGACTAAAGAGCTTCTGGAAGGCAAAGGAAACCAGGATCAAAATGAAAAAACAGGGGCCAGCCCCATGGCCCAGTGATTAAGTTCGCACGCTCCACTTTGGTGGCCCGGGGTTTCACCGGTTCGGATCCTGGGTGTGGACATGGCACCACTCATCAGGCCATGCTAAGGCAGCATCCCACATACCACAACTAGAAGGACCCACAACTAAAAATATACAACTATGTACCGAGGGGCTTTGGGGAGAAAAAGGAAAAAAAATAAAATCTTTAAAAAAAAAAATGAAAAAACAACCCACCAACTGGGAGAAAATATTTGCAAATCATGTATCTGACAAAAGGTTAATCTCCATAATATATGAAGAACTCAAACAACAGAACTACAAAAAAAAAACCCAGTCAAAAAATGGGCAGAGGAGATGAACAGACATTTTTCCAAAGAAGATATACACATGGCCATTAGGCACATAAAAAGATGCTCCATATCACTAATCATCAGGGAAATGCAAATGAAAATTACACTTAGATATCACCTTACACCCGTTAGAATGGCTATAATCACCAAGACAAAAAATAAATGTTGGAGAGGTTGTGGAGAAAAGGGGACCCTCATATGCTGCTGGTGGGAATGCAAACTGGTGCAACCACTATGGAAAACAGTGTGCAGACTTCTCAAAAAATTAAAAATAGAAATACCACATGACCCAGCCATCCCTCTACTGGATATTTATCCAAAGAACTTGAAATCGACAATACAAAGAGGCTTCTGCACCCCTATGTTCATTGCAGCTTTATTCACAATAGCCAAGACATGGAAGCAACCCAAGTACCCATCAACTGATGATGGATAAAGATGATGTGGTATCTGTATACAATGGCAGACTACTCAGCCATTAAAAAAAGACAAAATGGTCCCGTTCACAACCACATGGATGGACCTTGAGGATATTATGTTAAGTGAAATAAGCCAGACAGAGAAAGACAAACACCATGTGATTTCACTTATTTGTGGAACATAAACTTATTGACAAAGAGAACGGTTTAGTGGTTACTGGGGGATGGGAGTTGAGGGGTGGGCACAAGGGGTGAAGGTGCACATTTACATGGTGTCTGACAAATAATGTACAACTGAAATTTCACAATGTTACAAACTATTATGACCACAATAAAAAAAATGTTTTTTAAAAAACCTCTAAATTGAGGCTGGCCCCGTGGCCGAGTGGTTGAGTTCGTGCGCTCCGCTGCAGGTGGCCCAGTGTTTCATTGGTTCGAATCCTGGCGCGGACATGGCACTGCTCATCAAGCCACGCTGAGGCAGCGTCCCACATGCCACAACTGGAAGGACCCACAACGAAGAATATACAACTATGTACCGGGGGGCTTTGGGGAGAAAAAGGAAAAAGAATTAAAAAAAAAACTTTAAAAAAAACCTCTAAATTGATCTCACAGCACCCTAATGCCACTAAGAAACCCTGTTTCTTATGCTCCTGCTCTTTCAGCTAACTTGTGCTCTTCCTTCTGGGTTTAGCTTAAAGTTGCTTCCTCAGAAAAATCTTTCCTGATTCCCTAGGCTAGCTTAGGTTTCCTTATTAAAGTGCTCCTGTTAGCATCTTATACTTAACCTCTGTGGTACTCATCAACCTTGTAATTTTTTAAAAATATGTGTCTTCCCCACTAGATTATAATCTTCATAAGGGCAGGACCTGTGTGTGTCTATTCATTGCGGTGGCCTTAGCATTTAGCAGAGTGCCTGCCGTGTAAGAAATGTTTAATAACTCTTGACTTATAGTACGGAACAGCTGCAAAGAAAAGGTGTCGAGAAGGTTTCAAGAAATGTGGCTGGAGTGCCTAGCTGGTGATTGAGTAACACAGTGCTGTTACTGTGACTGCACTTACCAACCTGGGCTAGCTATGGTAATTCCTAAGGCAATCTAGCTACTTTACATTTTTTCCATAGCGAGAAAGACTTCCTAACCCAGGCACTGCTGAAATGATTGACTAGGGGCATCTGTTACTATCTGGACAACTTGACCTGTTGTGATACCAAGTTAGCTAATTAACGTAACACGTTGTAGCTGCAGAGGTTCCAGGCATTGTGATATTGGAGTGCTAGGATTCATTTCTTCACTCTCTGCGTGAGAAACTTCTGTTCTTTGAAAGAGGAGTGCTTTGGAAGAAGCTATGTCACAAATTTCTGCTTGTGTTTAACTTTGAGGGAAGGTGGATGGAGTGGAGGGGATGGTTTTTCTCATTCCCCTAGCCTTTGAGCCTATGTTTTTATTTTCTGTTTTGGTAATGCTAAAGAGACAAGATATAAACAGATAAGAAACTATTTTGTATAATTTTATAACTTTTGTAAATTAATCTTGTCATTAGGAATAAAGAAGAAAAACTAATAAAAGTAGGTTCCTTGCCTTTGATTAAATTTGCCAGGAAACTAAATCAACGTTGGGTTTTTTTCCCTGAAGTTAGAACATTTTTAAAGTATTGGACATAATATTCATTTGTCTTATTATAATGGTGTAATGTTTAGTTGCAAGCAGGGCCTGTGTTGATAGAATATCACAAATTCAAGGCCAGAGAAGCAAGAAACTAGGACCAACTGAATCCAATTAGGTAAAGGCTAGCCAACTAGTAATTCCACTATTTCTTCCTCAGTTTACTCCCTTCTCTTTTTCTCTCATTCTCTTTCTGTTTCTTTGGCTCTCACTCTCCTTGTCTCACACCTTACCCACTTTCTACTCTGTGACTTCTGTCATCTTTGAAAGTTAGAATGGAAGCATGCTTCATTTTTATTTTTGTTTTCAAAGATGGAAGTACCGTAGCTGTAAGACTGCAGTCTCCTGCTCCCTATGCAGCAGGGGCTTTGTATACGCTCGTGTGTGTTGAGGTCCTGTCTGCTCATTGCTGAGGTTTGTAATTGGTGTGCTGGAGTCGTTTGTAAATTGACAGTAATAAAAAGTGCTTTGTTGAATTGTTTCCACAGCTGGTACAAGGCGAATTACAGCATGGCCGAGAAGTTAGACTGGGGCCGAGGAATGGGCTGTGACTTTGTCAGGAAGAGCTGTAAATTCTGGATTGATCAGCAGAGACAAAAGTAGGAATGCATTTCCTCATAATATCTTTGATAACAACTTATTTCTAATTTTGTTCTTTATTCTGAGCCTAAAATGTCACTATTTTCAAAATGTGGTCTAAATAGTTCGATTTCAAAATGTGTAGAAAACCATCTAAGGTGCTTGGTGATAATATAATAAATACTGCAGTATTGTTTTAAATCATATACTAAAAGAATCTACAGTATAAGAGCCAGAGCCATAAAGATTTTTGGTTAGCTTATAATTCACAAATCTATGTGTATTGAAAAATTTTTGCATATTCTATCATTCTTATTGTTTTCTTCAGAGAATGTACTCATAAACATAGATGAAACTGTTGATTCAGTGTCAAAAAGCATAAAGGTACTTTTGAATAGTAGTTCTCAAATCTGGATGCATATCATAATCACCTAGCAAGCTTTTTAAAAATACATTCTCCAAGTTTGGGGAATACACACACATGCACACACACACATTTATTTGTTTATGCATGTGTTTATATATTTATAAATATATATATATTTTTAACTTTTTCTTTCAAGGTAATTGTAGAGTCACATGCAGTCGTAAAAAAGCATGCAGAGACCTCACGTACATTTTATCCAGTTTTCTTGATTGGTAACATCTTGCAAAACTATAGTACAATATCTCAACCAGGATGTTGATGTTAATACAGTCAGATACAGAATGTTTCCATTACAAGGATCTCTCATGTTGCCCAGTTATAATCATACCCACTTCCTTCCCACCCCAGCCCCTCCTTAGTCCCTGGAAAGCAGTAATCTGTTCTCCATTTCTATAATTTTATCATTTCAATAATATTACATAAATAGATTCATACTGTATATAACCTTTTGGGATTGGCTTTTTTCACTCAACATAATTTTCTGGAGATTCATCCAGGTTGTTGTGTCTATCAATGGTTTGCTCAATTTTATGGCTGAATAATATTCCATAACATGGATGTACCACAGTTTGTTTAACCCTTCTCAGTTTTTGGCTATTTGAATAAAGCTACTATAAACATTCATTTACAGGTTTCTGTGTGAACATAAATCTTCATTTCTCCAAAATAAACACCTAGGAGTGCAATTGCTGGGTCGTATGGTAGTTCCAAGTTTAGTTTTGTAAGAAACTGCCAAACTCTCTTTCAGAACTGCTATACCATTTGATAATCCTACCAGCAATGTGTAAGTGATAACAGTTTCTCCATATGCTCTCCAGCGTTTGGTATTGTCACGATGTTTTAGGTATTCTGAAAGGTCGTAGGGATGTCTCCTTGTGGTTTTAATTTGCATTTCCCCAGTGGCTAATGATGTTGAACATATTTTTGTGTGCTTATTTCCTAGCCATATATCCTCTTTGGTGAGATATTTCTTCATGTTTTATGCAAATTTTTTAATTGGGTTGTTTACTTTTTTACTGTAGAGTTTTGAGTTCTTTACGTATTCTAGATACTAGTCCTTTATCAGATATGTGGTACATATTTTCTCCTAATATGTAGCTTGTCTTTTTCTCCTCTTAATAGAGTCTTTTGTGGAGCAAAAGTTTTTAATTTTGATGAAGTCTAAATTATCAGTCTGTCCTTTTATGAGTCATACTTTTGGTGTCAAGACTAAGAACTCTTGGCCAAGGCCTAGATCCCAAAGATTTCCTTATATTTTTTTCAAAAATTTTATGTTTTATGTTTAAGTTTGTGATCTATTTTGAGTTAATTTTTGTATAGGGTGGAAGACTTCCATCCGGGTTCATTTTTTGCATGTCAGTGTCCAATTGCCCCAGCACCATTTGTTGAAAGGGCTTTCTTCCATTGAGTTGCTTTTATTGCCGTTGTCGAGAAACCAGTTGAGTGTATTTATATGGGTCCCTTTCTGAGTTCTCTGTTCTCTTCCATTGATCTATGTGTCTGTCATTCCACCAATACCACACAGTCCTTGATTACTGTAGCTATAATAAGACTTGAAATTTGGTGCACTGGTTCCTACCACGTTATTCTTTTTGAAATCATTTTAGCTGTTCTAGTCCCTTTGCCTTTTCATATAAATTTTAGAATAACCTTTTCTATATCTAAAAAAACTCTTTCTGGGATTTTTCCTATGAGTTGCATTAAATCTGTATATCAATTTGAGGAGAATTGACATCTTAACTATATTGAGTTTTTTGATCTATAAACACAATAAGTGGAAAACATTCAGTCTTTCACCATTAAGTATTTGAAGTTCCTCTCTATTCCTATTTTTCTGAGAGTTTTTGTCATGAATGGATGTTGACTTTTGTCAGATGCTTTTTCTGCTTTGGTTGATACAATCATGTGATTTTTTTTAAGACTATTAATATAGTGAATTACATTGATTGATTTTCAAATATTAAACCAGCCTTGCATTGGTGACCTAAGCCCTGCTTAGTCATGGTATATAATTATTCTTATATTGCTGAATTCTATGTAGTAATATTTTGTTAGGGATTTTTCCATCTGTGTTCATGAGGAATATAGTACAGTCTTTGTTTCTTTTTTGTACTGTCTTTGTTTCTTTATATCAGGGTAATACTAGCTTCATAAAATGAACTGGAAAGTATTCCCTCCTCTTCTATCTTCTGGAAGAGATTGTGTACAATTGATCTTAATTCTTCTTTAAATGTTTGGTAGAATTCTTCAGTGAAACCATCTGGGCCTGGAGATTTCTCTTTTGGGAGTTTTAAAATTGTTAATTCAACTTCCTTAATATTTGTAGGGCTACTTATATTAACTATTTCTTATTGGATGAATTGTGGTAGTTTGTGTTTTTTGAGGAATTGGTCCATTTTGTCTAAGTTATTAGATTTATGTGTACAGAGTAGTTTGTAGTAGTTCCGTATTATTGTTTTGTGTCTATAGGTCTGTAGTGAGATCCCATTTCATTCCTGATATTGATAATTTGCATCTTCTCTCTTTGTTTCTTTTTCAGTTTTGCTAGAGGTTTGTCAATTTTATTGATCTTTTTAAAGAACTATCTTTTTGTTTCATTGATGTCTTCTATTGTTTTTCTGTTTTCAAATTCATTGATTTCTGCTTTTATCTTTGTTATTTCCTTAAGCTTGTTTTTGGTTTATTCTTCTCTTCTTTCTCTAGATACTTAATTATTGACTAGAGATGTTAACATCTTCCTGATGTATGTGTTTAGTGCTATAAATTTCCCTCTCAACATTTCTTTAGCTGTGTCCCACAAATTTCACTATGTTATTCATTTTACTGATAAGTAAAAAGGGGTGACACAAATCACTTGCCCAGGGTCATATGGTTGGTGAGAGAGAGAGCTGGGACTCTAACTTCTCTTTCCGAGTCCAGTGCTTTCCCCATTAAATCACAGGTACTTCTTGTGTTATAGATGTTATTCTTTTCTCACCTGGGTTAGGTCTCAAAACTAAGTTACTCATAATTCCTACTAAGGAGTCTGACATCTGGGTTGTAACCCTACTGTGAAAAGAGCTGCTAATAAGCAGTAGCAGGAATCACCTGCAGCTGCTTTGGGGACAGCTAGTTAACTCCAGCAGTACAATTTGATCTGCTAGTGTAGTGGTTCCAAAATTCTGCTGCACGTTAGAGTCATCTAGAGAGATTTAGAAAATCTCCATGGCCACATTGCACCCCATATCAATTAAATCAGAATGTCTGGAGGTGGGAACGAGGCATTGGTATTTTTTTAGAGATCCCCAGATGCCTGAAATGTGCAGCAAAGTTTGGGAACCACTTTTCCAGTGTTGAAGGAAGTATATATATAACTAACATTGCAGCTGCAAGAGTTTAGAGAGATGTTTTTTCTTTTAACAGATGCAATTCTGTTTGGTCCCCTTTGGGTCCCAATTATAGGATCACCTAAAACCAAAAACAGAAGGAAATTTCCCCTAGTCTCTTTTTAAAAGCTAAAACTATTGGTCCCCTGAATTCTCCTATCTTTCAACCATAATCCAGAGGTTGGTAAATTTTTTATGTGAAGGGCCAGCTAGTAAATATTTTAGGCTTTGAGGGTTGTACAGGCTCTGTCACAACTACTCAACTCTACTTTTGTGTATCAAGAGCAGTCATAGACAAAACTAATGGGCATGGCCATGTTCCAGTAATACTTTATTTACAAAAACAGATTGTGGGAGAAACAAAGAAACAAAAAAGAGGTTGTGGGGAGGATTTGACCCAAGAGTTGAAGTTTGCTGATCCCTGTCATAAGCATTCAAATGTCCCACTTGTGAAACGATGTCCAGAAGTATTTACAGGACAGAAGCCAACTTCTGGCACCATAGGCCCGATCTGGCTATCTCCCTGAGTTATCTTAGAGATACCTGTGTGACCCTTCTTGAGCACAGGGGGTGGTGCTTAACTTCACCTGTGACACCTCTCCTCCGTTGTTGGGCGACTGGCTGTGAGAAGGGGATAGTAGAGCATAGGCAGAGCCATGCTCACTTGAATCACTTGAATCTACGTACACCCAAAATAAGGTTCTTTCTATGTTTTGAAACAACTAAAAATGATAAATTACCCAACTCCTCTGCCTAGCTTATTTGACATTAATATCAACTCTAGAGCTGTACTGTCCAATATGGCACCACTAGCCATATGTGTTATGTACTTTATATTTAACTTAATTAAAGTAAAATAAAGTTTAAAATTCAGTTCTTCAGTTGCACTAGTCGCATTTCAAGAGGTTAATAGCCACTATGTAATTAGTGGCTACTGTATTGGACAGCAGAGATACATTGCAGAAAGTTCTGTTGGGTAGTGCTGCTGTCGAATTTGTAAGTCATGAATCCTGAACAACTCTAACTTTGAAATTTTTAAAATCAGTATTTTTTAACCTCTTTATTCTTCTTATTCATTTAGCCAAAACTCGTTTTTTAATTAATTTAAAGTAAATGTAATGTACCGTTTTATTTTAGAGAAAAAGGAAATGCATTTCATGGTATCAAGAAAATGACTTAGTAAGAACTACTGGTCATATTCATTGGAAACTTCATCATAGAAAGTTATAAAATTGCCTTACATGAAGAGTTTATAAAAATGGTGCGGACAGTGAAATTATGTTTATTGGGTCACTTGTGTGTGCTAGGCACTCAGTGTTTTATAATTGAAGCTCGGGAAGGTTAAGTAAACTCAAGGAAGCTGGTACTTGAAACTGAGTCTGTGTGATGACTTAAGGACCTTTGCTTTCCTGTAAACCATGCTGCTTCAGTTTTACCCCAGTCTGTGGTAGGTGTTTTACACATTTTATCGCAAGAAGCTGTAATTCCCTAGAGATGTTTTATTGCTGTACTATGTTAAGTTAAATGATGCAAGTATCAATCTTCCTTATAATAAGAAATCTAACCTAGGCTTCTTTTCCTTAAGAAGCATGTGGGAGAAGAGGAAAAATACCAGTGGTCCTATTACGATTTGGCAGAGCAGTTGTAATAGGATTTAGGAATACTGGAATTTCATTTAAAACATTACTATTATGACATTAATATAATATGTATTTTAACTATCAATACGATGACTGATCAGAATTATAGGTTTATTTGAAGGTTATTTTTACAGGACGCTGCAACAGATCCTGCTGTCTTTGGAAAATTGTAAGACTTCTTTTTGCAAATTTCACTTCCAAGATTAGATTTAACAGAGAACAGAACAAGTTGTAACAGTTATGAATATTCGCACCATCTTCATTTTGCACAAGAAAACAAGATTGTCCTGCGAATGTTTTTGGTTTAACAAATTGTCAGACAAGATTCTTTGAACTAGATTATGACACAGAAAAAATTTCACTCTTTGTATCTGGAAGACAGAGGGGACATCATCTCCATCTCTTTCTGAGACCCCATTTGTTAATTATGAAGATTTGTATTTTTAGGCAGGATTTGGAATTTCATTATTTGTCATTAAAAATGCAAATCAGGTCTGCAGAACTCCATTTTACTGGCAAAAATGAAGGAAGATAAATAGTATTTTATTTAATAATGGTGAAGTAATGTTATAATGCAGCTAGCATTAATCTTTCACATCTGCATTAAGCATTTTCTTTTACCCTTTGAAAAGTAAGTTTATAACCTGATTCAACAATTAATTTTAAGTTCTTAGAGCATATTGAAATTATAATGGAAAAGACAAAGCCATAAAATAGACCTGTAGTGTTTTCTGCAGAGTTCGATGCCGTGCTGTTTGTCTTTGTGTGCAGGAGGCAGATGCTGAGCCCTTACTGTGACACGCTCAGAAGTAATCCATTGCAGCTAACCTGCAGGCAGGACCAGAGGGCAGTTGCAGTGTGTAATTTGCAGAAGTTTCCGAAACCTTTACCTCGAGAGTACCAGGTAACACTTCTTTTGAGCACAATTTTAAGAATCAGCTTTCTAAAAATAAGCCTTCATTTTAATTAGAAAGGTGAATTCTCCTAAGTTTTTCAATTTATAAGGCCCCATTTGTTTTCTATAAGTTAGAAAAAACAGAATTCCTCCATTTCTTTATAACCAATGTGCTAATCGATAGCGATTAATACTTAGCAATGCCTTGTAGTAATGGTCAGAGGCATTTGTAATATTTATTTGATCTATTTTTAAACTCTTTTTATTTTCTTCTTAATTGTTTCCAAAGTCTTTGTCTTTGATTACCTCTAATTTACACAGAAAACAAGGTCTCTAAAGAAAATAACAGATACTCTAACTAATTAGAAAGCTTAGTAGTTCTGCTTTAGAAAAGGTTTGACTCATGGGATCTAAAAGGTGAAGAACATGGTCCCACATGTTCAGTCTTAATCTCTGATTTGACCTTGAGTTTTTTGTTGCAGTGGCTCTCTCTAAGAAGCCTTATCTCTGCCTACCATTTACAAAGGACCCTTTGGGCAGAAATGATATCTCAGAAATTAATTTAAAATGATTGCTGCTAAATTTTGAACTTCCTACATATGTTTGTGACCCTGCTGAGTGCTTCGGACACCATAAGATGGCAACTGTATTTCTAGGCATAGTAATATAATTAAATGAGTGGGTGTAAAATGTGAAATCTTTAAAATGTATCTGATACGCGGTTCCTTTGGTGTTCAAAGTATTTTATATATATGATCTCATTCATTTTCTCAGTTTTATTTTTTCAAGTTTCTCAAAACAACATATAAATTGTCTCCTAAAAACACTTGAAGTATATTATATTTAAATATCTTAATTGTATGCATTAGTTTTGTGTTTTGTCAACTCTTAAAACTCTTCCTCTTCACCCTTTTAAAACATTAGTCAAATCTTGTCATCTAATAAAAAACTTAGACTAATTTACTTACCTTGCTTGTGTGTAAAACTATACCAACCTCGAAATACCCCTTAGGTAGTGTATTATCTTTGTGTTGTACTGTATTTGAAGAGAAGTCCATTAATATCTTCTTTGTACTGTACGACATTAGAGGGTTGCTATAAATTGCCTCTGCGCTTTGTTTTGATTATACAGAATGCTTCCTATTCTCCTGTCTTCCTAATCATTTTTTTTGTAGTACTTTGATGAACTCAGTGGAATACCTGCAGAAGATTTGCCTTATTATGGTGGTTCAGTAGAAATTGCTGACTACTGCCCTTTCAGTCAGGAATTCAGCTGGCATTTAAGTGGCGAATATCAGCGCAGCTCAGATTGTAGAATATCAGAAAATCAACCAGGTTAGTAGTCTAGTGAAACGAAATGTTATTTACGTACTAAAATTACATATCGGCAATATAAAATAGTGGTTAAGGGCACAGACTCTGGAGCTAGACTGAGTTTGTGTTGTTGTTCCACTGCTACTCATCTGTTGGAAGTGACTTAACTTTCTCTGCCTCAATTTCCTCCTCTGTACAAAGGAGATGATAATACCTATCTCATAGAGTTGTTGTGAGAATTAAACGAATTAGTGTAGTAGGTGCTTAGAATTCTGACATATGAAAGGATTGTTAGCTGTTATTAGACACACTTGTGTGTGTTCATATACGCTGCTTTTTAGTAATACCACATATCTGCGTGACACTTCTCCTTTGCAAAGCATTTTTATTTTATCATTTTATTTTATTCTTCCAAAAACCTGATGAGAGACATAAAGAAGATGATGTTGAATTTCACAGATGAATGGACACTAAGTAATGTAGTTAATTGGTGTCAGTGCAAGATCCTCCAATGCAGAGCTCTTTTTATTAAATCATATTAGATATCTCATTTTTTCCTTTCCTGAGGAATGTGAATTTTATGTGATTTAGAAGTGACTTGTCATTCTCCAGATATCAGAATAATACTATTGTCCCATGGCTAGTAAAGATGTATTGCCATATTATTTATTCCCTTTTAATATGTATAAATGAATAGATCATCAAAGGAATAAACAGTATGGCAATTGGATATTCAGCAATAGTAGTTATATTTCATACTAACCACCTCCGTAAACAAAATGTTCTCACATCTGATATGTTAATAAAGAGCAACAAGTAGTTTTTTTCTCTGTGGTCATGAAGATTTTTAAGCTGGTGGTTTTTCCCCCTCTTATTCCATATTTTATTATAGACTAAGACATTTAAAATTTAAATTTCCATAGTGTTTTTCATTTTATTCTTAAACCTGGCAGATTTAACTGGATTTGTACAGTAATTTTTTTCACCACTCACCTACTTAATAAATGTCTAAAGACTTATAACTACTCAGCAGTTCCATGTTAAACAAAAAGTGCACAGATCTGACAATTATGGATTTGCCAAAAATATAGTATCACATTTTATTGTTTTAGAGTTGGACTTGGCAAACGTTTATTGTAAAGAGCAAGATAGTAAATATTTTAGGCTTTGTGGAGCATACAGTCTCTGTTGCAACTACTCAACTCTGCTGTTATAGTGTGAAAGCAGTGATAGACAACACGTAAATGAATGAGTGTGGCTGTGTTCCAATAAAATTTTATTTATAAAAACAGATGGTCCTCCAGGTTTGGCCTGAGGGTTGCAGTTTGCTGACCTCCTTTTTTCATTTGACACTGATCACTATGTTTTTCGAGGACTTTGAAATACTCATAAATAAAAGAAATATAGAGTCCTGTTTTATTGTTTTACATTTCCTTTCTTAGCTTATACAATTAAGATTTTTCAAAACTGACATAAAATACTTATCTTTATAATATTTCAAAATGGGTTAATTGAACTGTCTGCTTTGAAAAGATGAAACTTACTTGTATTAAGTGTAAAGAGAACTAATTATTGCTGGGCTGTGAGAGCCTCATCCCTTTGCCCATCAACTGTTTAGAGGTCATTTAGTCCACCCCACTCCTCTGCAGGTTTCTGCTTAGGCTGAGAGTAGATCAGCCTGCTATTTATGGACTTCCAGCAGATGGCCTAAGATGAAAATTCAAGAAAGTTTTGGAAAAGTTGCAACACCCCAAAAAAGCCTTCGTTATATACATCACTTGCCCCGTGCTGTCTTGGGTCACTTGGGAGGTAACTCCTGCTTAGACCTCCAGTGAGGAGGATTCTTAATGTCATTTCCTCTATTTATCTAACTTAGATACTTTAGGCCCAGTTTTTTCTCTTGTTTCTAATATAATAATTTTTTCCCACTAATCCCTTTATTGAGAACCCAGTTTGAGTTTGGAGCCCCGTTTCTCTTGATTTTTTTAATTGAAAATTTCCATTAAACATGTTTGACTTTTAAAGCAACTTTTAATCATAAGAACAGAATGCTTCAATTTCTTGTTCTTGGAGCCATAAGTAAATTTTTAAGAAAATTTTTCTGGTTTGCTTCAGATCTTTTTAAAAACTATGGTGCTGAAAAGTACGGACCTCATTCAGTTTGTCTAATTCAGAAGTCAGCGTTTGTCATGGAAAAGTGCGAGAGGAAGCTGAGTTACCCAGACTGGGGGAGTGGATGTTATCAGGTAAACTGTAGGATTGTTAATAATTATACCAAATGCTGTATAATTTTATCTCATTATATGCTTCTTATATTTTAAAATACATTTTTTTAATCTTTTCATATAGCTAATTTACTGGTTAATACTTTAACTTCTCTTGTTTATTTATGTAAATATTAGTTTGAATGCTTGTGTTTTGTGAAAATACTGTCATTTCTTTGGGAGAAATTGCCTTTTCCATTTGTTTAAAAATATATATAATTGCTATAGATCAGCAAGTTTGTAATAATTTCGCTTCTGGACATATATCCTAAGGTAATAATAGAAAATATGTAATTTTGTTCTTAAACAAATATTACTTTGTAATGGAAGAAATTTGCAATTTTATTTCATAAGATCTGAGGAAAGCATGGATTTAAGAATTAATAAATCAACTACTGGTTGATAATAGGGCTTTTTCCTTTGAAATTAGAAATCCAAAGTGGATAAACTACTATTTTCTTAATTATCTTATTTGCACATCTGATATTAAGCGACGCATCACCTTATTAAGAACGTATTAAGATACAGGCATTCTGTAACATAGGAGCATCCAACTTACAGAATATTTCTCACCCTACTGATGGATGTCAGAGAGGAGAGGCGATCCCGAGAACTGAGAAAGAAGAATTTGTTGTGCCATTTCAGCTTCAAGAGCTAAATAGACTTCTGGAGCTTGGAATTTAACTATTATTTTTCAAGTTATTTATAAAATTAACTTTTTTTGATAACAGCTTTATTGAGATACAATTCACACACTGTACAATTCACATAAATCTATCTTTGAAACCTTAATAAAAGATAATTAAAAATAAACACTTTCTAGCCATAATCTAACTGTATCCAGCAACCATTTTCTGATAAATTCCATTAAAGATTTATGTATTGACTAAATACATAGTTTTGACCTAGTTGTAATCATAATACATAATTTTGTTTTACTGCCTTCACTTAGTATGCAGAGCAAACACCTTTTCCAAGTTTTTCCAGTAATTATACTTACTATTCTTTTTGGATGTAGAACATTGCATCATTTTTAAAGTATCATAATTAGGGAAGTCATTTCCGTGTTAAATATTGAGTTAATTTTCACTTTTCACTATATAAAAGTGTTGTTATAAGTATATTTACATATTTTACCTTTTTTTAAATTTATTTTTTGAAATAAATTCCCATAAGTGAGAATATTAGGTTAAAGGAGATAAAGCTAGAACAGTGGCAACTATAGTAGGAGAATGACCTTTTCAGACTATTTAAATGTTTTATTAACACCAGCACCACCACTGCAAAGGAATTATGTAGATTTGTAATACCATCTGCAAAGATTGAATGTCCTTGGCTTCCCTGTGCCTAGTGTTGTCAGTTAATTTTGCTAATTTAATACTAAGCATCATTTGTGTGAGAAACTGTATGATTTCCAAACAATTAACATACGATTACCTGGATTTTTTGTTGTTGTTGTTTGTTCTACTTATTTTGACGGTGAAGTTGCAAGAATGATACAAAAATATTTTTTGAGTCATTTAAGTACAAATTGCTTCTATGTTGCCTCTTCAACCCAAATACTTAGTGTTTTTCTTATAAACAAGGACATCCTCCTACGTTATTATAATATTACCCCCAAAATCAAGAAAGTAACATTGATGCTTCTAATTCTCAGACCCCATTCAAGTTTGCCGATTGTCCCAATAATGTCCTTGTAGCAATAGGATCTGGATTAATATCACCTGTTTCATAGTTGTCACATCTCTGATCTCCTTCAATCTGTGACAGTTCCTTTTATAACCTTGACTAGCTTTTAAAGATTACAAGCCATTTCTTTTCTAGGATGTGTCACAATTTGGGTTTGTCTGATGTTTCTTCATGATTAGATTCAGGTAATGTATTTTGAGCAGTAATATCACAGAAGTGATGCTCATGTTCTTCTGGTGATACTCTCTTTTGATTTGTCCCTTTGTTAGTGATCTTGTTGGCATCTGGTAGACTTCTCCACTCCACTTTTTCTCTTATAATTGATTCCCTTTGTAATTAATAAGTATCTTGGGCGCAGATACTGCGTCAATAACTTACTTCTTACCATACTTTCATTTTATTAATTTAGGTATTTGTATCATTATTGACTCATGGATTCCATTTTATTCAGTGTGTATTACTGTAACTATCATTACTTATTTTGATATTTAAGTTCCCCAAGATTTGGCCAGGTGAAGCCCCTTCAAGCTGGTTCCTGTGTCCTTTTACCCCATTCCACCTCCTCCGAGGGGGGCTCCAGCCTCTCTGCCCTCCATTGTATGGCTGTGTGGGTCTCTCTGACTGTTTTTTGTGCTGTGTTTGAATGTCCTCTGTTGGACTATAAATGACTTTTTCATTGTATGTTGTAGGGGAGGAATTACTGGGAATGCTTACTCTGCCATGATGCTGATGTAACTCGTCAATATTTTTTATTCCAGTCCAACGCCAAAGAGTTCATTTTAGTTTTCCCCCTTTCCATATTTGTAACTCCTCTCTCCAACAGTGAGAAATCTGGCTCTCATTGTCTTCCATATGCTTACTTATTTGGTCTGTCCACTTCCTGTCCATCTTTGCCCAGCCCTGCGTGGTTATCCTCCTCACCCACTCCAGCTCTGATACAACTCACCAGGTCACAACATCTCTCCTTCACTGTGATCCAAATCCTGTGCACATCTTTAGAATATAAATGTTCTTTCTTCCACAAAAATTTCTGATCTTTATTGCTCTTGTTTCTACCACTTATTGAGTCTTAATCATGAAACAGTCTGACATTGTTAATTTTGGGGGAAAAAAATTTAAATCCCACCCTTCTCACCTCAATTAAAGCTGCTAGAGGGCAGGCATTGTGTTACAGACTTCTTTGGTATCCCCTTCAGCACCAAGTGTGGTGCTCAGTCAATTCTCACTTAAAAGAATAATTACTTGCGCTGTAGCTATGGTGATGCTCACTAGATGTGGATTGTTGAATGACAGGCTTCTGGAAGAGGTTACATTTTGTTGTTGTTTGGTTTCTTGATACCTTATTTAACTTAAATTTTCAAATGAGTATTATATTTGAACTTGATTGATGATAGAGTTATTTCAAAAATAACTCCAGGGGCGGGCCCAGTGATGCAGCCATTAAGTGTGCACATTCCGCTTTGGCGGCCTGGGGTTCGCTGGTTTGGATCCCAGGTGAAGACATGGCACCGCGTGGCAAGCCATGCTGTGTTAGGCGTCCCACGTATAAAGTAGAGGAAGATGGGCACGGATGTCAGCTCAGGGCCAGTCTTCCTCAGCAAAAAGAAGAGGATTTGCAGCAGATGTTAACTCAGGGCTAATCTTCCTCGAAAAAAAAAAAAGACTCCATTGCTGAAATATGCTTTTGGAACTCCTCTTTTGAAACTTCCTTCAGAAATAGTTTAGTAGCCATCTAAGAGAATAGATTTTAGTATTTTGCATCACACCTATGTTAACCTTCTGTTAACCAGTTTAGTCAACTACCTTAACCAGACTTGGTTCTCGGCAACTTTTGGGTATTTCCATAAATTACATCTACTTGCAAAGTAAAAAGTTTCCACCATCAGACATGTTCAGAAGCATGCACTTGCTTTGAAGCTAATTCCAGGAGAGAAGTTCCAGAAATATTTAAAGTGAAGTAGCATAATTGAAGTTAATCTGAAATCTTTGTAGAAAACGACTTTGAAGAAGCCATGGTCATTTTAAATTCTTTAAAAGTTAGCTTTAATGTGTTTGCTTTTTGAAATGGGCTTCATTAGTTCCCCCTTGTAGTTGAGATATGAGTCCTGCCTTTAAAGATGTTACCAGTCTGTATAAAAGCACTAAGATCGTTTTTGTCTCTGAGCAGAGGATCTGGGGTAGAGAAAAAGAAGAAAGAAATTTTACTTTGTACATTTTTGTGCTGTGTGCTTTTTCTTTATAATGAGCATACATTATTTTTATAATTTAAAACTAATACAATTTGATTTACAAAATTTAGTGATTTGTGGAGAGAATGACATGATTAATGACTCTTTGACAGAGATTTAAGCTGAAGTATGTGAGGATACTGGAATCTGCAGAAATGTTATTCTTGATAATTTGACTTCAGTGGTCTGTGACTCCAACTTGTATGTAAAGCTGTGTGTTGCCTTATTTTTTTCAAGAAAAGTGTCCAGACCTTTTATCAGATTTTTGAAAGTGCTAGACTAAAAGTTTAAGAATTACCAGACAGTGAAACTCCTTTAGAACCTGAATTACCTAACCCTCTTCATATGAGATTAAAGATACGCCCACATCCCACATTGTGTTTTATAGCCAGTATTTTTAGTAAATTCTAACAGATTTTCCTGCAGTTGAAGGAGAAGGCTCGCATACTGGAATCTTACTGATCTGATTTTTTTTTTCCTATTGGAAGGTTTCTTGTTCTCCACAAGGTCTGAAGGTTTGGGTCCAGGACACTTCATATTTGTGTAGTCGGGCCGGGCAAGTCCTCCCTGTGAGTATTCAGATGAACGGCTGGATTCATGATGGAAACCTGCTCTGCCCGTCGTGTTGGGACTTCTGTGAGCTCTGTCCTCCAGAAACAGATCCGCCAGCTACTAACTTGAGCCGAGCTCTACCACTGGGTGAGTGGTTTCCATGGCTGGGGAAGGAAGAGGGGCTTTTCTTATCAGATTTGAAAATTCCCTCCAAGGAAACTCTCAAATAGGTTGAGCATCTTCTCTTCTAATTGCGGTTTTATAGGAAAAACTCCTTCCCCGTTGTTAGAAATTGAAGGTGGATGAACTTGACAGTTGTATTCAGTAAGAGCAAGGAAACTTTCTGTGTGGAGAACCTCTGAGTTGCACAAAAAATTCACTGAAGGTTACAAAAAGTGAATGTTTCAACCATTCATTTTGAAACTAACGGTAAACAAAATTCTGCTCATTAAATACAAAAAAGCAATTGAATATATGTTAGTTATAATTAGATGAATTGAGAGAGAAAGACACTGGAAAAGATGCTCAAAGAAGGGATTGACAGGCCCGTAAAGAAGAAGAGAAAGGTGCAGGAGGATACAAATAGCCACACACGGTGAGGGAGAAAGACAGGCTGCCCAAGACAAGGTGGTTTTCACTGAGAGATATTTTACTGATTCTGTGGAAGTCCAGGGGGTAGAATTGAAGTCATAGGGAGACAGAGTCCAGTGAAATCCTTTAGAGGCAGCAGAAGAATGGAAAGGGCTGCCTTGAGAAGAGCGCATTCCTCATTAGTGAAGACGTGCAGACTGAGACTGATGACCCATTTCTAAGAGTTATAAACAGAATTCACGAATTCTAATTAAAGCTTTGACCTCTGATCTGTGAGAGTTTAATTAAATGACCTGTGAGATTTTACGCAGTTTGACATTTTAGAGTATGAATAATAAAGATCTTGTGCAATGTTTCATTTTCTCAGCTGCAGGTATTTTTTAAATGGAACCATGTAGCCCTTTGCCTGTTCCATAGCCTGGTTGGAAATGGAGGGCTACCTTCACTTTACAAATCAAAGTTTCTCCACCTCTAACATTTAGTTTCCTTTCTTTCCCAAATCCTGGGGGCTTTTTCTAGACTTGAGCTCTAAGTAGAGGGTGAGCTTTGGGAGATCAGTGCTTTGTGGGGCTGCCCAAGATTTGGTGGTTTAGTAGATCTCTAGGACTCACAAGACTCAGCCTCTAGTTGTACTTATGGCTAAGATTTGTCAAAGGGAAAAGATAGAAAACAGAATCGGCAGAGGGAAAGGGGGCAAAGGGGCCAAATCGGGAGGAAACCGGTTCCCAGATGCCAGCTAAAGCCCATCTTTACAAGCAGGACTTTGAAAGTATGGTGATCTCAGGCCTGCTGTGTTAACTCTCTTCTGCACAGTACTCCCGTGAGTCAGCTGAGTTTTCTGCAGTTATTATAGTAATGACACAATAAATAGTTTGAAATGATATAAGATCTTAGGTCCTTTTGATGTGGTATATAGTAAATGTAGTGTTAAATGCTCTTAGTTAACTTTTGTTCTTAATATGAAGCTGGTAGGATGACTTAATTTTGTTGTTACTGTTAAATTGCCTTGGCTAGAATTAGAGGGCTGCTGGTCCACAAGTAGATGGTTCTGATGGAGTTCCCATTCTCAGGCCTAATCTCAGAGTTACCTATAAGAGACTGTCACCGTCTCATTGTCCAAGAGATGAGCAGAGATTGAGCCTTTAGCAGTTTGAGTTGAGATAGAGAGAATTACTGAAGCTGGTTCAGGGGTAAGACTCTTAGGAGTACAGTAGAAGAATGAGTAGGAATGAGGAGGAAGCCAGACCAGGTCAAGGTGCTATGAAATGATTAGTTCTTGTCCTTGGAGCATGACAGAGACAAGTGAATCTGTAGAAAGAAGGTGAGGAGTAGAGATTACAAACCACCCCAGCCCCTCCACCTCCACCAACCTGCGCCGTAGGCTCTAATTCTTCTTATCCTGCTCCCTCTTTATCAGTCGCCCTTCTGATATTGTGGTGCGATGATGGGATTTCATTCTCTGTTGACCAGTTAGTTCTATGAGGAAGCATGCTCAAAAGAGCACTGTAACTTCCACAATTTTGAAACATGGGTAAACTATTACAAGAACAGATACCTTTTAGGCATTGCTTTTTAAACATTATAAATATCACTATTGAAATTTTAAAATATTCTGACTTCCCATATTTGTTCCTGTGTTTGAAGAGAGCACACAGTGAGAGTTTACTGAGTATTTATTAAACTGTGTGCCAGGGACTATGGCAAACTTTACATATGCTGTTTCTTTTAGGTAAATAGTTTGTTTATATTGTTTTTATGACCACCAAACTTGTAAAAATAATATTTGATGCTTTAAATGTACTTGTATGGGAAATGCTAATAATTAGAATTAACCTATGATGAAGCTTATGAAACAAATAATCATCCCTAATCTATCTGTGAATTTAAGTATTTTTTTTTTTGGTTTTTAAGTATGCCTTCAAAACATTAAAACTGTTAATATTCTGGAGGAAGTGTGAAAGATATTCCTTTCCCCAAATTCTTCTGATTTTTCTTGTTTTTGTTCTCAGATGTTAGTTCACATGGGCTTTCCTTACATTTGTAATTTCTTTCAGAATTTAAAACTTTCATCTTTTCTCTCTCTTTTTCCCTAGTCATCACTTCTACGTGCTAGAGTGTGATTAGATAGTTTTCCTATATTGCCTATGACAGTTTCCATTACTGAATATGAAAGATTTATTTCTAAATTCTTTCTGGTCTCTTCAGATTGTAGGGGTTTTTTTTTTTTTTTTTTAAAGATTTTATTTTTTTCCTTTTTCTCCCCAAAGACCCCCGGTACATAGTTGTATATTCTTCGTTGTGGGTCCTTCTAGTTGTGGCATATGGGACGCTGCCTCAGCATGGTTTGATGGGCAGTGCCATGTCCGCGCCCAGGATTCGAACCAACGAAACACTGGGCCGCCTGCTGCGGAGTGCGCGAACTTAACCACTCGGCCACGGGGCCAGCCCCTGTAGGGGTTGTTTTTGTTTCCATTTATTGAATGCTGGACACTTTGCTAAGTGCTTTGTGTCTATATCTTATCGTCTCCAATTCATTTGGAAACACCCTCTTTGAATCTTTTTGTTTTAAGGAGTGCTATCACAGAAAATGCAATGTTTTTGAAGGACAGCAAGGGTTCCAAAGCTGCCATTAATGTTTTAATAGCTTGTTAAATTTTAGTGCCACAGTAGATAAACAACAACTAGTTCTCCTCCTATTTTGGGGGGGCCAAATTGAGAATCAAGAGATAAAGGGATATGCCTGTGTTATTAGTGACTCCAAAGTCCATTCATTATCCAGCTAAGACCACTCTCCCTGATGCTCTAGGCCAGAACTTGTCCAATAGAACCTTCTGAGTTGATGGAAATGTTCTGTAATCTGCACTGTCCAATACAATAGTCATTAGCCACATGTGACTACTGAACATGTGAAATGTGGCTAGTGTGACTGAGGAACTAAATATTTTATTTTGTTTTAATTAATTTAAATTTAAACAGCACATGTAGCTAGTGGCTGCCATATTGGACAGTGCAGCTCTAGATCAGAGGTTCTCCAACTTTAGCATGTATCAGAATCATGTTAAAACAGATTGCTAGGCCTCACCCCTGGAGTTTCTGGTTTGGAAGATCTGGGTTGGAGCTGAAAATTTGCATTTTTAACAAGTTCCTGGGTGATACTGATGTTGCTCATCCAAGAACCACACTTTGAGAAGGACTGTTTTTGACTGAGTGGGATTCTTCTGAGATTTAACAAATACCAGCTGATTCCATTGGGGAAGAATAGAAGTTCCGCATGGTTTACCTGCATCACATGCATTGAAATAATTTTTAAAAATAATTGTTCCACACTGTATAGTGCTCAGAAGAGTAGGCTCCATGCCTTGAGATTATCATTCCATTTATTCTATAGCTGAGGACCAGCCCTATTTTTCTTACCTTTTAAGCAAGTTAGACTTGAAGCTTGGTTGGTTCTTTATTCGTCCAAGTATTAGAAAGGATAGCTCATCCTAAAATAAAGTCAGGTTGACCTGGTCTCTTGATTGCTATAAAAATGTTTTCCATTCTGAGAATTGTTTTGGGAAATAGTTTTAGCCATGAGAACAACTCAGGGATGAATTAAAATACATGCCTAGTGCCCAAAGCCCATAGAATCTTCTGCTGTTTCCAAATAAAGCCTAGGGTGATATGAATAGGTGGGTAGATATTTAAAGATCAAGGACTTTATGTCCTGGTTTGCCTGGGACAGTCCATTTGCCTATTGTACTGGTATAATTATTAATAGCATTCCTTTGTGTTAAAATGAGCAGAGAACAATTTAGTTGATCTAAGCAAATTTTATTTCACACTTCATGAAGTTCAGAGAACTCTCAAGAGACCAGAGAACTACAAAATAAGGGAAAATGGCTACAAGCAGAAAACAAGGAAGAAGTACTTGGCTTAAGTTGATTGGCTGAGGTTGTGTATCTGACCTTATTTAGAAAGATCAAGGAAAAAGGAAATAACTGTACAGTCCAGAGTTGGCTTGGCTGTTGGAGATTGGCTGTCTGGATATAATGTGTTTCTGGTCAAATGGAGCATTTACGGGAACACGAAAGGTAACTAAGTTGCAGTTTGCTGACATAGCACCATGGGCAGGAGTGGTTCCATCTTGGGACTAGAAATTTATTTTAACACTTGTCTCAAAATGTCCTAATTTGGAGTGATGAATTATATGGTCACCCTACTTAGAAGGGACAAGGAAGAATAGAAGGAGAGAGTCCTACATCCCATGTCAGAATGGCCGAGACACTAATTTACTTTCCTGTGTAGCATCTTTAGCTTTGCTGGGACACTACTCCAAGACACTTCTTTCATTTTTTGAGGTGCTGTTTTTTAACCTTGATATGGTAGATACATCTTTTCTTCCTGCTTAAATATTTTGTTCTTTTTCCATAAATATAAAAAAATGACTTTGCATATCTGGGTTTCAGGAAGTCATTCTTGATTCTGCTCTCCACTATTTGAGAGTCAGTGTTTAGTTAGTATGATTTATTCCACAAATGTCTATAGAAACTTAATTTTTGTTTTCAACCCTAGATCTCTGTTCCCGTTCCTCTAGCCTGGTGGTCACCCTCTGGCTTCTGCTGGGCAATCTATTTCCTCTGCTGGCTGGATTTCTTCTGTGTGTATGGCACTAGCAATGGAAAAGTGGATTCTCAAGACATTCCTTTGTGTCATGTTCCTCTGAACGAAGCACAAAATCTGGGTGAGTGAGAGCCTCTGAAGACGGCGGACGCGGCATTCCTGACTTGGGCTTGGCAGTGTCTACCACAGCCAGAGCTTCCCCACAGTCGCTCTTCAGCAGCCCGACAGCCCCAGAGCCTGGAGAAGAGGGAATGCCAAGTTACCAAGTCTCTTTAGTTTTTAAGATACACAACTTTCCTGAAGTTTTCTTTTGAAAAGGAAATAATCAGTGACATTTTCAGAGTGATTACATACCTCAGCATTTTCATTAACCTAAAATGATAAGGAGTTCATCAACACTGCAGTAATTTAAAGAACAGCTAATTATTGCAAGATTGTAAGCTGTGGATCCTGTCCTCAAAAGTATAGATTGTCTTTTGACTTCAAGAAAATAATTGAATTGGGATTTCTACATCACTGTTGTACCTGTTTTGAATTTAATGGCTATACATGGTACCCTAAAAATCATTGTTGTCATTGTTCTAAAAAGTTTTTTGTAATTATGTTTTGCTGAATCTTATGATTTAACCATGCTTACCTTTTTCAAACCAGCTGTGTGGCCATTACCCCTGAACCGTTGTGTGCTGGTAGCTCTCTTCCACCTGTGTCTGTGCTTAGTGCTCTTCTGTGCTCAGCTTCCAACTATATTCTCCGTTAAGTTAATAATGACTTGAAAAACTGTGGACGCAGAGAGAGAAAGATTCTCTTCCCTGTAAAGACATTGAAGACATGCAAACAGAAGAAAACCTATTTTATGTTTTTCAGATAATAGTTATGACAACTGTAATCCGACAAAAGCAGAACTATTCCTTTTTGACCAATGGAGATAAAAAGAAATTCTGGTGTAGACAGGTGTGCAGTTACTTTCAAGTGAGCTTAGAAATTGTTACAGAAGAATTTCTACTATCTGAAAATTATTTTGTATATAAGAAGAAGAATATAAGCAAAACAAGATGGTCTGAATTGTTTACTGATAGCAAAGTGTAGGTTTGGTGTAGGGTCTGTCCAGTAGGGTCCACTTTACCACACAACACATGACAGTTCACAGAAGTCAGAAGATTGCCTCTGCTTTAGAAGGAAGCGATGTCCTTTACCTCCTGCGTTCGACACTCCTTCTGTTACTACACAGACTCTGGGCCCCAGAAGCGATTCTGCTCTGCTGCTGGAGCTTATACTAACCCCGCTTAGTAATTCCAGTTAGAAATTCTTTAATGATAAGTGATGCACAGTTTTTTCTCTCTAAAGTCCTCTAGCATTATAAACATGGTCCTTGGACAAGCATTTATTCATTCATTCATTCATTCGTGCATTCATTGTTTGGCCCTTTAACTCAGCATATAGTTATTGAGCACTCCATTTAAGAAATTGTGCTAAGTAGCAAGCAGCATAATTAGTGAGGAGTAATTCCAACTGACTGTTTGGCATTGGAGCCAAACTGCAACACCAGTATAAAGGAAAGTCACCTTTTTCTAAGGCATCAATTTAAAATACCTGTTTGCATGTGGTTTTAAGTTGGAGGTATTTACCGTTGTGAAAAGCCGGGAATCTCTAGCATGGCCAACTTCAGCTACAGAGAAGCTAGTAGTAATGGTGTCAGGCCAGTGCTCGGTTTTCCTCCCATGTCATGCAAACTTTAAATTGTGCAAGGTCAGAGAAAAGTGTAGAGTATATTTTTAAAGAAAATTATAAAAATCTAAACTTATATACCTATTGTGATTATGAATCATCTTGTAAAGTTGTATAAAGAATTTCACCAAAAATACTATGGATTAATAATATATTTGAGATTCACAGTGATAGGTTCAATTATATTTTGACTGTTGTGCAGTAATGCCATTTAGGTAGCATTGTTTCCGAGCATGGTGCTTTTTATACTTGAAATATATTTTTTGCTTTATTTTTTATTGATATAAATATATTTGCACTAATGACTTTCTGGAGAAAATATTATAGATGACATTTTTTCTATATATATTTATTAAACTTGGAATCTGGTAGCCCAGTGTTTTCTCTGCACGAATATGAAACTTGATAAAGTATGATGTTAAGAAATCTTGAGTTTCTGAGGGTAGCTGACTGTGCTGGTGTCTTCCTTCCTCTTGAACAAGTCTCGAAAGTGATTATCACTGATTCTGCATAGTATATTCAGTGAAGATTTAGAGGGCCACTGAACCTGAAAGAAATTTTGAGGCCTGTTTCAGTCACTTAGAATATAGCAATATTCTAAAAACAAAGACTTTTAAAATCCGAGATTTCCGTGCAGAATTGAGTGGGCTAGAATTCAGCTTAGAACTGAAGAATATGAAATAGCCTGAATGTTGGTATCCTGAGGCAGGTGACGCCCTTGAGGTTAACAGGACTAGTTCACTGAGGAAGAGACCAGCAGCCTGCAGCCAGGGTGGAGGTGAGGTGAGCGGAGAGGGAGCCCGGGAAGGGGCTGGTTTGGGGATAGGAGACTGGAGACCCTTTCTGACTCAAAAAGGGTCAAGTGCTTATAAAAACTGACTACCTCAGTTTTCAGTTCAGACTTAGGTTCATTTTGATAGTATTAAGGTCCCAATTGTCAAAATTATCAAGTGAATTTGTCTCTCAGGTTTTCAAGAACAGAATTTACAAGAAGGAAACAAAAGCCATGTCAGCAGACTTGAGCTGGCAGCTTTAGAGAAACTGGCTAGCAGTTAGGTCCTCTGAGTGGAGACCCCTGTAATATTCTCCTGGAAAACATCCTTTCCCTTTCTTCTTTCTTAAGGATACTTATTTTTGTTAAGACCAAATAGACATTCTAAAAATGTTATAAATTATGCTTAAAATTAGTTTTAGCCTAATACGTTGGCTTAGAGTTTTATCAATATTTGAAGATAAAACATAAATTAATTAAGTTTAAATAGTTTTAGGAAGATACATAAGTAAGTATACCAGAGACTGCATAAAATTTTATCAACATTCTCTTCAATATTAGAAGACTCCCTGATTAAGACCATCTGTAAAATGACTTGATGCTTTCTCAGAATCTTTCCAGCTCTAATATTCCACGGCTAATACTCCTCCAGAATGGCTAGGTCACCACTGGCTCTGTCTGACCCACCTCCTGGAGGAGGCCAGCTTGCACGTCATGTTCATCGCAGTGTCTTGTGCTCGATGTCTTAGCGCTGTCCATGTTCTTGAACACTGAATGAAGAGAAGAGCCCGTCTCGGAGGGCGCTTGAGTAGCCCTGGCAGGAGGAGGTGGACGTCAGTCACAGCCCCACAGACCCGTTTCATAGTGGGCACCAGTCATTCGAGCCATGTCCTTGCAGCTGGGGAGGACTAACACTTAAACCGAGTCTGCTGTTCATCCTGGAGAAAGAACTTACCTGAACGGAAGGCCTTCTTTTGGATCCATTTAGTCAGGGTTGGGGAGGGAGTGGTGAATTATTTTCTTTTATGTTTACGTTTTTAATAAATAAAGTAGAAGATTTAATAACTAATCTTTATTTATGGTATTGAACTTTAAGTGTAATATACTCCTTAGAAAAATGTAACTTTAATAAAAATGGAAACTAAATCTGCATCTTGTCTTAACACCATCAATTTTTTTTAAAACCTGTGGGGAAGGTGAGGTGTTGAATATGAAACATAATTCAGTCTTTATTTTAAATGGAGTAAAATTGTCCTACTTAAAGAATGGGGACAGGTCTTATGTAAAGCTACAGGGAGTAGCCCTCCTCAAATAGTGAAGCAGGAAAGAGAGCAGACTAAAAGAATTCAGGGCAGCCGCCTCAGGCTGAAGATTCTTCCAGTCCCTTTAGTCTATGCCGTGGGCCAGGAGTCTCATCACATGACCCCCCTGGTGCATTCAAATACCATACTTTACGCGGTGGCATCAAGTAGACTGCACTGTAGTCGTGGAGAGTGATCCTTGCTCATGACCTGAATGTAGTTTGAGAGAGTGTATCCAGGACATACCTTTACCATGTGCTGTTAGAGCCATTCTGCCCTGTGGCATGGAGCCAAGCCCTTGGTGAAATTATTGAACGTAGCCTACGTGACCTAATTGTTGAGCTGAGATCTTTGTGGGAAATCTTAATAATAAAATTTAGATTTTTTTAAAGCTTTAAATATTTCATATAAGTAGCTAAAACTGTATACAATCAATTACTTAGTTGAATAAACCCAGTATTATTTGCACAGTAAACTGAAGTTAAAACTGTCTACATCTCATATATTACCTTGTCTACACTATGTTTTGGTGTGTTGATAGAATATAGCTTATTTGGTAGATGTTATTATTACATAGGCTTGTCTTTGTCCATAACTTCTCCAGTAGATTTGCTGAAATAGATGGTTCATTTAAATCAGCTTTGTTAGGGTCCCACTAGAATTTCATTCTTTAATCTTTGGAAAAAATTGGACATATTTGGAGGTAGTAGTCCAAATATGTGATCTGATGTTGTGGTAGACGACAGATACCTTTCCCATTTTATATGTACAGAGATGTTTTTTTTCTACCTGTAGACATTAGTATATCTTAGATTCAATGCCACTTTAACACTCACTGCCACTAACAGTCAGTTTTTTGAGTTTCAGCAAAAACTTCAGTGACTTAACAACTGTGTGACATTGTCTTATTTGAAAATCACACTATCTGAACACCCCTGACTTCCTCCCTCCCCATTAGGTCTCTCCTAATGACATTTCCAGAGGGTTACGGGTTGATTGGAAGAGATTTCACAAGTGCGCCCACATAGGAGTGTTCATGAGTATGTATACAGTGAAAGTTTTGATGTATTTGACTCAGGAAAATTTAATGAAAGTGAGATAGCCATGAAGAATAGAGCAAATGTCGCCTGCCTCAGCACATCTTGCCAGTCCAGCCCCAATCCCCAACAGTTGTGCTGCTAATGACAATGTCTGCTCAAAGGAGGGTCTCGCTGATCTAAGATGCTTCAGTTTCTGCCATCCCACTGTCCTTTCATAGGTGGATCTATGTCACTATTCAGGAAGAACTTAATCTATGTGTCTAAACCTTCCATTTAAGGAAATGTTCACAAACGTAGAGCATTCCTGGTTCTTGACCTGAACTCATTGAGACCACATCCCTTCTCAGGGAAAGCACGATCTGTCTCCAACTTTCTTATACTGGGGAATGCCCATTTATTAGATTATTAGATTCTAATCTCTTATTATTTTATGAGAATCATGAATTGATTCTCTAAATCATGATGTCTTTGTGGACTTACTCATCGGAAAAATTGGTCCAGGAATTTGTCTTATACTTTTGATCGTATATTTCTCTGTCAGTTTCATAATTAGTGTAGACACAATGGACGTTGATGTTCTACAAATGCTGTGGTGCTTCTTTTCTCAAAGAAGAAAAATCCCTAATATCCCATATATTAAGATTTCGTGGCCGCCTAATCATGCCTTGGGCTAGTGTTCTCAAGACACCACCCCTCGTTGCCTTCAATAAGACTTTGGCAGGAAGATGGTGTGGATTTAGATTGCTCTAATGTTACAGCTCAAATCTTGATTGTAATATATACATCTCACTCATATCTTTGCTGGCATTAGGATTGACCAGTGGAATGGGCTCTTAATTCTAAAAAAATAATTTTATCATCAAATTATTGATTTAAAAGAATATATTTGTTTCCAGTATTCTTATGTATCCAACTTGAACCATAACAGAGGTTAAATAAAACAGGTTATGCCACTGTTCTAAAATGATTTGGTTAGTTGTGAAGCTTTATGCTTACTACTAAGTAAATAAAATGTGTAAAGTCTGGGCTTCTTGCATAGGTTTGACAGAAGAGTGAAGAGGGAACCGGTAAGTGCTATATAAGTTTTAAATAACCCTTAGGGATAAGTATCATCATAATGGGGAGAAAAAGGAAGAAGTCAAATGTGTGAGGGGAGTCAGTGCTCTGACTGGCCGAGGTGAGTCAGTGGATTGGCCCCAGACCCCCTGTGCCAGCGGTGCACTGTGCCAGATCCCCACAGATAGGAGCTTTTCCCCATTTTTCTCTGATTTATCCTCTCACAGTCATCCCAGCTTCCCTTCACCCCAGGCTGTGGCCACTCCTCCTCCTGCCTCCCCACCACCCATTCAAAACAGCCCAGTTTTCCCAAGTATCCCGACATATCCACTGGCTCTTGTTGCCTGGGCCGGGAGTGAGGGGTGAGGAGTCCTACCTCTCCATCATTTCTCAAGGATTGATGTGGAGGGAGGGAGCCAGGAGCCCTCACCAACTTACTAATTTGGCAGAAACCAGAAACTCTTCTCCCTCCATAGCCTGCTCCTGCTGTGTTATAATTTCCGTACCACCATTCAATTTCTGAGTTGGGAATGACAGTGCCTGGTGTGGCTGCCTGTGCACCACGGCCCAGGAGGCATGGTGGTAGAAATGAGCAGGCTAGAGTCTGTTGAGCTGAAGAACACAGCGGGTCAGCTCCAGGGTGGGCAGGCACCTGCCTGGGTGCGGCCATCAGATGCTAAAAATAAACCAAAAGCATAGATACAGAAACAACTGTAGTCCAGAGGCAGAAACAGATAGTGAAGGTGAGCCTAAGTACGGGAAGAATGAAGGCCTAGGCATGGGGTACTAAGAAGTTAGTCAAAAGTGAGGGAAACAGAAGGGCCAGAGGAACAAGAGTGTGCATGGAGAATGACCAGACCACGTCCTGCTGGATGGGGTGGGGGGTGGCGGGGGCTGCCTTTCCTTCTTGACTCCCAGGTTTAAGTGCACTGGGAGTGTCTTCTGACACTTAGCACAGTGGAGATACTCACTGAATCTAGTGATTTAACACTGGAAAAGTACTTGTTGAGTACTTAGTATATTCAATATGTATTTAGCACCAACTCTGTCAGGCACTCTGCTGGGCCATGGGAACACAATAAACTGACAGACGTGGTCTTTGTCCTGGAGCCAGTGAAGGAGGGGACAATTAAACAAGTATTTACAGTAAGTACAGACTTGAATTAATGGGATAAAATGTATAGCATGCTGATGAGAAATAGTGGAGAGAGCAAGGCTGAAGATATGAGACTGAGATGCCCAATACAGCCAGGCTCTGAGAAGAATGAGGCTGGGACCAGAGCGTGGGGCAAGACCCGCCCCATCCACTGTGAGATAGGACACGGAGGGAAGCAGGAGCACATTTGTTAGGTTTGGCAGCTGGAAGCTGATTTCCTGGCTCTGGAAGCAAAGTCACCATTGTCTGTCATGAATGGGGTTTGAGATCTGAAGAGCACTGAAGGTTTAAGCTTTTGCAAAAAGAGGTTTTGGTGGTAACTGTTCTGGGTTCATTTTCCCTGGAAGACACTTAGTGCCCTTTCAGTCCATAGATTCGAGTCTTCTTTTATTTCAAATAAGTTCTTTTGAATTTTATCTTTATTTCCTGTTTTAAATTTTCCTCTTTAGGAATGCCAATTATGTATAAGCTTATCTTCAATTACTGTAACTTTCTTTAATCCTTAATTCTTTCTTTCATTGTCTTTTTCTCATTTCTGCCCATTGTGTCCTTTGTGGTGTTTTCAGCAGTGTCTATTGACCCCTCTGCTCTTTTCATTTTTGCTCTTGTTGGGGACAGGAATTGGCCACCCCAAGATATGTCTCTTTGGTATGAGGATTATTTTAGGCTGGTTACTTTTAATAAACTGCAGATAGGAAAGGAGGCTCTGAGGAGTAGAATTTACTTACCCTTTGTTAAGAGACATTTACACTGTAAAGGAAATCTTCATCTGTAAAGGTGTCTCCCTCTCTGTACCAGGAAGAATTGGGGCAGGTGACCTTATCTCTAGAAACTCTTAATCAATGCCAAAGGCAAGGACTTAAATCTGCGTTTGTTTACTGTACTTGTGTGGTAATCTCCCATGATCTACTCCCCCTCCACCCCCAACATCCTCCTTTGTCTTTAGCTGAAGATGATATTTAAGGTCGGGGCTTCAGCCGTTTTGGCTAGCACAGCTTGCCTGAGCCTCTCCCATGTATACATGTTATAAAACTTTGTTTAATTTTCTCCTGTTATTCTGTCCCATGTGAATTTAATTTGTTCTCCAGTCAGAAGAACCCACAGCGGGTAGAGGAAATGTCTTCCTCCCCTACACTCTCTTTTCTGTGTTTTTACTTTTCTGTGGTGTATCTTTCCTGAGCCCGCAGCTGCTTCTCCACATCCACAAAGCTGATGATTAGACACTGGCACTCTGGGTATGGCTGAAGCTGCCTCTAAACACTTAGGTCTCCAGAATCTTGGTTGCTAATAGCAACAGCAGCAGAAAGATGGGCTCTGCTTCACATCTGCCTTCTAAATATTGTGAGAGTGCATCTAACTGACAGAACCTAATTGACATCCAGAATCCTAGCTGCAAGAGAGTCTCAGGCATGTGGTTTTAAGCTTTACACCGTCTACAAACAGAAGGAAGGAGGGATGGAGGTGGAGTGAGCTAACCCCCAGTATCTACCACGGTCTTCTATTTTGCAAATTCTTTTTACCCATTTGTCATTTGTTAGATGGAAGTTTTGAATTTTTAAATAATATGCTCTGGTTTTTGTCTTTGGTGTTATGTTTAGA